CTCTTATACACATCTAGATGTGTATAAGAGACAGCACTTATTGTGTTTTTTTTTTTTGTAACTTTACATTTGGGGGGGCACACTTCTTTTTTTGGATAAAGACCTCCAGCCGTACAAATTCTTGTCTACCTGAGGCGAGTCGGCGAGGTCCCACTAGCAAAGAGGATTGGATTAAGCACCTGAATTTGGATGTCTTTTAAGCAGGGGGGCGCAGCGCGACCGGGAGTGCTGCGCCCCGTCCGGCACGACGCAGCACGGAGTGACGAGGCGAGCATGGAGCGGCGCGACGTAGCAGGTACGACGCAGCATGGAGGGGCGTGGCGAGCACGGAGCGGTGCAACGTGGCAGGGTGGATATGAAGCGTTGCTGGCGAGCGATGGCATGTGTTGGGGACTTCGTGGAGGCGAGATAGGAGGAGGAGGTGGTGGCGGGTTGTTCATTGCAGTGCTGATGGTGGGGGATCTTCTATACCAGCCTTTCTACTCCGTTTCCTCTTCCTCTTGATCTAGTGGTCTCTGTTCCGCGGGGTAGAAGCTGAACTTTCTGTGAGGTGGCGTTAACAGGTTTGACGTGGACGCTCACAACGCGATCGCATGGGCAGTGACAAGGATGTGATTGCGTCTCGCTAAATCTCTTCTGGTCAGTGCGGTGTGCCAAGGGGCTTTAAGCATGGGCTATGGGGAGGAGAATATGCTCCTCCTGCAGGAAGAGGCAGGTGCTGAGTTTGGACTCTGCAGCGGCGGGGTAGCTGGATCATGGGGTCGTGGGAGTGGAGCGCTACGTGATGGTTTGTACGAATCGAGACTTCTGCTTCTCCAAGGCGACTTCACGCAGCGACGGGATCTCCAGTAATTTCGGTGGCATGATCTAAATTTGCTGTTGTTTTTCCTGATATAAGAATCTCATAGAAAAATTCATGGATGGTAATTCAATTTTTTTTTGTAGATCTTAATCGGTAGTTTGTATTTTTCTAATGATTGTCCCATTCTTTACGCCATAGATTGTTTT